TAATCTATATATTCCTTTGTGGAATTAAATAGGGTTACTGTATCACTCCCACCTGCATAATAGCCCATGGGAATAGAAAAGCCACATATTTCCGGTGTTTGATCAGAATTTTATCTAAGAAGTCCGCGTCTTCAGGGACATCCTTAGCTACAGTCTCGTTTAATAGTTGCCCTAAAATAGATGCATAACTCAGATTAATTGAAAACAATGCTAACTAAGTCACTTACCTTCCCAGAAGTATCTTCGACATGATCTGTATGCTTTCCGCATCTAACTAAGAACGGACGTTGTCGGCGCTGGCCTTTTGTTTTGTACAAATGACCCGTTGACGAGAGTTAAATACGCGAATTTTTTCCCCTTCTCTAAACAATACGGAAATCTTCGAGATTTATGAACTGTTTATTTGCAATACGGCCAACTCTTGTGCAAAGGGGGTTTGTCCGGGTTTTGGTCCGCGGAACACATGCTGAATTCAATGCTGTAGATTTTTAAAGTCGATTATTTTTGTTTATTGCTTTCATGATTATGTAAGTATGAAATAGTGTGATGGTTGGGCTGTAGTTACTATAGCATTAGGTCGTCCTGAAAGTTTTTCTAGTGGAGATCTTGTTTTCAGTTAGTCATAACTTTATATAAGGTGAACCTTTTCATTCAAAACAAGCAGTATTTTGTCCAACACGTAGTTTTAAGTGTAGTTCATTCATTCCTTTGGTATAGAAGCCGGCATCAGTAGATTTAATGATGAAATGCAATTTGAGTTTTTTTCTTATTTGTTCAACCGCTCCTTCTAAGAAAGGGAGATTGGGAAAAATGGCACTGTAGGAAAAGAGTCTGGAGAGTAACGCGGAGGTAGTAGTCGGTCCCCAACTGCAACAGTTTTGGTTTCGCATTGTTGCAAAAAAGGAGAGGGCCTTTCCTGTTTATTAGTCCAGGCCTTAGGATTTTGATCGGCTACTACCTTTAACTCATTACTCAATCCGTTGTAACAGTATACCAGGTTTCAAAATGCTAGTAATTAAACTAGCAACAGACCACCAACTGAAATCGCAATCTTCTTCTTTGATCACTTGTGTTGATTGATATCAAGTCCTGCGACGATTTTTTCCTATTATCGTACATAATCCACT